TTGATAAAAAAACACAAGGGTTAAAGTAATAGAAACAATTGAAAAAAGAGATTTGATTTAAGAAAAATAATTTAAAGTTAATTTTTTTGTATCACTTTTTTTATATCATATTTTTATAGAATCTTATATGTTATTTAAATGATTAGTTATTTGTATTTATTTAAGACTCATAATATTAAATGTATTTGCTCATTTAATAACATATAAAAATTGTATTAAAAAATAATATAAAAATTTGTCTCTATATCACTGCTCTCAATTTAAAACCAAAACATAAAATCATAGCCCTAACTAAACCCAAATTTGCACAACATTTATCAAAAGATAATAAAAAATAATTTTAACTGCCGACCATCATACAATTAACTGTCCAAATTAACAGATGTAGAAACGGTGTCAAGAAAAGTACGACAATGAACAAAATATAGGGAGTAGAAGGACGACATTCGGTGTGAGTTGGGAGTAGAGGGATGACAATGAACAAATCTGTAGTAGAGGGATGATTATGAACAAAATTTGAAAGTAGGGGACGGCAATTGGCTTTAACCCTAACTACAATTACAAACTCACATTATCAAATTATGCATTAAAGTGATTTGGTCATTTGACGCCGGAAGTAGGGACGTGGGGTCTTCCGTGGGCTTTGATTTTATTTGATTTTTTTGGTGAATTTCGTGAACTTTGATTAACACTCACATTTGACGGTCACTTGCTTTATTAACAACGAAGTCATGTTCACATTTTTCTTATTTGAAATTTTGTTGTCCACAAGTGGATGCTTTTTCAAATGTAGGAAGATGGCTTTATCCAACAGTAAAGAAACGGGGATCATGTGTTGTAACGTACTAAAGCAAAATAATATATTTGGGTAGACCTTGACTTACGACTTGCATGTGTAACATAAGGGCACTCCTACCGTCTATCACGCCAAAGAGGTCAGAACAGAGAATATCCTAACAACCACCAATAAATTATCAGACCTCACAGAGTGTAAACGTAAATGAGCTAAATAGATGAAAAGTCATTACATTCCTACTTTGTACTAGTCTTAAGAACTTGAACCAAAGAGTAAAATGACATTAAAATTGATATGGAAGAGAGGAAATAATTACCAGAAACTTACTTGTAGATTAACAAAATTAATTTTACAGAATGAGATAAATACCACAACAAAGTAAATATTTGTTGTGTTTTGAATTGCGGTTTCATCCAAGCAAAACTGCAAGGATCTTCAAATGTCTAGGCTCAAGGTTGAACAAGTAAATGAAAGCATACCATAGCTGAATCTGAGATAGTCGTGAATGGGTTTTACCAGCTTCAAAGAAAATGTACAGGTGAAATTGTGAAAAACTAATACCAGACACCAACCATCCACCATCACTCAATTTATTGAAATTTCTCACAAGGAATGCTACCATGATACGGCACCCGCAACAACCTAAACCAATGTCAGAGTAAAATTTGTCTGAAATTAGTTAAGGCAATGATGAGCAACAACTTACAGTTAGATTAATATTGTGCAGAATGAAATAATGCCAAAACTTTGAGGATCGACAAATGTGGAGGCCAGAGATAAATGTCATTCACTGGAATTAATATAAAGATTTTCATATATCCAAGTACTTACCTTAGTATGCAAGATTTTCATCCTTCTTGGTAATGGCTTGTTGTAGACTGATGGATCCAAGACATGACATCTGACGTTATGCAATATAGAAGTATTATCCACCATTGTAGAGCATTAAATTCAATTGTGGACATTACCAGATCTTTCGGAATAGACCCACCTAATCGAACCCACCAAAGTATATAACATATCATCGTTGCTAACCAGTCTTTGATGTATAGGCGAGGTTCCAAACCAACCAACACCATAATACCATATGTCACAACAGATTGGAAAGACAAAATCATACCAGTAATTCCTTTAGTATTTCTAGAAGGCGGTAACAAATCTTTTGGAAAAAAGCTTATTAAACAAAAACAGAAAATCATATAACTGACTATTATAAATAACCAGTCTTTATAATCTGCCATGGGAGATGTGCTTATAGCAAACCAAAACATGCCTTGTGCAACATTTAC